TTTATGGTCTAATAACATCCAAACAATCCCAAAAAAGAGTTATATGAAGAGAGAGAGTTTGCCTAAATATGAGTGAGAGAGTTTACTCAGTTGTACCTGTGTGCTTGTGTGTGAGTGAGAGAGAGAGTGTTTTGTGTTGCTCCTATAAAGCGTGGTGTTTTACCACACTTTTTTAGATGTTAAAAGCATTTTTTACTTAGAAGTGGAATTGTTAATTTTTTTTTTGACAAAAATAGGATTATTGACTTTGGTTTTAAACAAAATACTGTATTTTGATAATTGAATTTAAAAATAATTATAATTTTATTTAAAAATAACCATATTCTCATAAATAAATCAATACAAAAAAAGGACCAATGAAGAGAGTGGTAGGTTGCCAGTGGTTTTTAGAATATTTTAAATTTTAAGTCCCCTGATAAAAATAAAAAAAGTAATAGCATGGGTGTGCAATTTAATTCATGTAGGTCCCACGTGATGAGTAATCCTCCTTCGATGATGAGCCAAGCAATATGGGTGTGCGCCCATGTTATGAAAGCAAAAGATTTTGTCTAGAATAGTAATCCACTTTTCATGATTTTTTTGTGCTTGTACAAGAATAGGTGTTTCCAACGAAAGTTACATAGAGACCAAAAAAGAAACGAAAGCAACATCGGCTTTTTTATAATAGTAGTTGATCCTCACGTGAGCAAAGAACTAAAATTCGAATTGAACATAAAGGACAAAAATGAACTGTTTCTCAATTCATCTCCTTCCTCTTTAGAGGTATATCTTTATACTGCATTTCTCACAATTAGTGGCGTGGATGACATGCAACCTTTTGTCAATATCTCATGCAATATATGAATTGAAATATATGGCTTGACTTCGAATGATAAAATCAAAATATAAAGTGATATATTCATAGAGGAAACATCGACCAATATTCCTTGACAGCTTATGATATAGATTGATATAATTTACAGTTTTTAATTCTAAGGACCAAAGATATAAGGAAACAAAGTAATTATTTGTTGAACTTTGGTTTTTGGAAGCATTTGAAGAATCAGTTTGTAAATTTTTGGATCAGAAGTAATGATTGGGTATGCTTTATAAGTGACCTAGGACATTAGTTCATCTTAATTCTCATAAAACCTTTTGTATTGGAATATTTATTTTGATTAATTGTGCTCTTAACAGTTTTTGACTTTCCAAGAAAAAAAATGTGGCAAATATACACTCAAATTAAGAATTCCTAAAACTATCAAATCACTACCACAAATTACATTTTTTTTGGGTATTAACACTGAGCACATGATTGATGATTCCATTCAAATTATCTACATTAATGTTTAATATGCCAAAAAATACTGGAATAAGGTGGGGGGAAAAAGTGTGCAAGCATACAACAAATTTTATAGTTTTAGTCCACCATCAACAGGTACCAATTTAGAATTCGGATCTCTGCTAGGCAACAAAAACTTCTAAAACACCTTCATTTTTACCGCATCAAAAACACATATTCTGACAACAAACACCAACCAATATCGAAACACTAAAAGGATAGTTAATTTGGAATCAGGATTAGGTATAAAGAAAGTGTAAGGGAAATTCTTCCTCCACGAAGGACTCCACAAAGGATTTTAGCTGACCTGGGGGGTTCCGGACCCCAGTAACCTTTACCTCTCGTCCCACGTCGGGAGAGAGTCGTCTCCCCCTGCCATAAAAGTAAACACTTACACTTGACTCTCTCCCAATGTGGGAGGAGAGGTAAAGGCTACTGGAGTCTGGAACCCCCCAGCTCCAACCGGAATCCTTCGTGGAGGGAGAATTTTCCCCTAAGTCCGGAATCCCCCAACTCTCCCGATCAGATGGTTAGTGGGTACCTGCTCCATATAAAGTGTTCACTTATACGACAGGGGGGAGACGATTCTCCCCAGATGTGGGACGAGAGGTAAAGGGTACTGGGGTAGGAAACCCCCCAGGCCAGCCGGAATCCTCCGTGGAGAGAGAATTTCCCTTACAGAAAGAATGGCCTATCCCTACTTCAATCTTATAAATTTTTCTTGCCAATCTATTATTTCGTATGTGTTAAGAGAAAAAAAATTTTGAAACTAAAACATCAAGTGGGTCCCTGATATTCTTTAAATACCATTGAAAAAGAAGAGAACAAATTTCTGTGTGCACATACTTACCTAAATTGACGAAATGAGCCTGGCATTTAGTTAATAATCATTTTTTTCTCAACCTCTTCTAATACTTGAGGTGCAAACCAAATCATAAAATGAAATTTTCTCAACCATTTATAGGAATTATTGAAAAATGGTAAACATCTGTCTCTCTAAATTGAATCCAGATTGGTATCTTTTCACTGAATTTTCTTCGTATTCTTTTTATTTGTTTATCCCCCAAAAAATCCTTTCAATTGAGCAATCGATGGTGTGGCTAATGGCAATGAACTGACTGCAAGTACGCTGAAAAGCTACTTCAATTTGGCTACAAAAGATCAAAAAGGGCATTAGGGTCAAAGAGTGGGGTTTCGTGGAAGATGCCATTTTGCAATACGAAAACGCCCGGCTGGTATTTATCGAAGCCTCTTCAACACCTATTCTTTGTTATGGTAGCTCTAGGTTGTAGCCAACAAATGAAGAGATGATACTAAGGGTTGAAACCACGAAAAGCTACCATCATTCTTTTACACAAACATGAATTAGGCGCTGTCACACGAGAATCATGAGTAGAGATTGGGGGAACACAAGTGTCCGATTTTATAGGTGAACAATAATATTTTTGAAAGGAACCATCAAATTCGAAATGGTAACAAAAGATTAGTCATTTACTCTTAGAATCAATAAAGTCTAAAAGTAAATTAGGGTAGGTAATTGTAAGGTCTAAAATTAATAGGGTAGTAGTAGGGTCTCAAACTTTTATTAGTTACAATAATTGTAATTAAAAAAGGATAGTATGGATATTACTTGTTTTATTGAGGTTATTATAGTCAATCAAAAAAATTTCACTTTTGTTGACATTTTATAGTAGTATAAATAGATATAGATATAGATAGGATTGTCCAGAAGATTATAATTACAATACTATCTTTGTATGGATGAATCAAAATATAATAAATAAGAGTAATACTATTTTGACTTAAAATTTTGATTTAATTTGTTGATTTAATGATGTAATTACAGTGAAACCATCAGATTAATACCAAATTTTAATGTTTGATAGAGCCTAGAGTCCATCCACGAACAATAGTAAATTAGGTCAATAAATTAGGCATCAATAACATTACTCAATAAATAATTGAACAATGTTATTGAGACATAATTTGAATATATAATTTGCGGACATAATCATTGTAATCATTAGATTATCAATGGATACTAACCGTGAATGCACTCAACTATAAATCCAATTATCACAATGTATTAATTTCTCAAATTATATCTCTCACTTATATACCAATAACGTTAGTGTAAATAATTTACATCCTAACATCCTCCCGCAATCTAAACAGGATTGTCTCAAATGTTTAGATTGGATCGAATGAACTGAAAACGCGGAGAAGACAAGCCATTGGTGAAAATATTAGCAAGTTGCCTATCTATAGTATGTATTTGACAAATCGCCGGAAGCAACTTTCTCACGAACAAAATAGACATCAATCTCAATATACTTAGTTCTAGCATAAAAGACTGAATTGGTTGTGAGATATGTTGTGCTAATGTTGTCACAATAGGCTTCAACAGGGTTAGACAAAAAGACATGCAAATCCATTTAGCTACCACAAAAGCCAGAGTCCAATATTCTAATTCTTACTTGATCTAGAAACAGTGGATTGTTTCCTGGAAAACCAAAACAAGAGATTTTGGCCAAAATAAACACAATATCCTGCAGTTGAACGGCGGCTATCTGGACAACCTGTCCAATCAGCATTTGAGTACACTTTCAATCAATTAATTGATCCATGAAAAAATTGAAAATCATAGCCAAGAGTGCCTTTAAGGTATCATATGTAAAATCTTTTTTACAGCCTGGACATGATTATTAGTAGGATTTTGCATGTACAGAGAGACACTGTTCACAGCGAAGGCAATATTCAGAAAAGTAAATGTTAAATACAAGAGAGCACCAACAACACTAAGATAATCGGTAAGAGTATCAAAACTTGTTTTACGTCGATAAAATAATATCTCTCAAACTATTTTATGATCCTTACGAGTCTTTTTATGCATTATCAATTGATTTTGAGTAAAATATTTTAACACAACTTTATTATAGTGTTATACTTTTGATATACAACAGTAAATCACTATTGTAAATACAATACAACATCATTACAAGTTCAAGAGAAGATTTTAAAGAGAGACACAAAAAAAACATCGATGCATGTCTGTGGTAGGAATTCACAGTCCGACTTATTAATAATATAAATATTAAAGAAGACATTCAAAGAGAGGAACACATAGAGACATTAATGCCTGCCTTTGGTAGGAATTGGGAATATAAAAAATGCTATGGAATGGAAATCTAGTGGTCATCTTGGATTCATTTATTTACGGACCAGCCAGAAAGATTCAAGTAGTCACCAAAACTAACTTTGCATGGTATGTGCATGCTCTTGTATCTCCTTCCAAGCCTTGTTCACATGGCAATAGTCTGTAAGTGTTGCTCAAATTAGCAAGCCTTATCACATACATTCCCCCAACCACAGCATGTGTCATGTTCACTCTTCCTGTTGCGTTAATGGATTCCAAATTTTCTGTTGAATTCATTTGCTTCTTCTCCACCTAAAAGCTTCTGCTTTGGATTTCCCAGCATTAATGGCAAAACCAGAAAACAAACCATTGCAAAATTTCTAGGAACCATGACCTCGAACCTCTTGTCCACAGCTATGAGCCGTTCAAAATGTTTAGCCATTTTTACATGACCCCTTATGAAGTTTCTGAGGTTTGATGCTCCTAGCTTCTGAGCACAAGCCATGGCTTCATTGCTCGGAATCTTCTGCTCAATGCTATTTGCTAGTCTTTGTAGTCCACCACTTGTTTTGAATCAGAAGCCTTGTTCTTCAAATACTCCGGATCATTTGAGAGAGCTTTGATTAGGGCACTTGGTTCCTTTACCCAAAGACGACAACAATCCAAAGTGGTGAAGAACCATTTATGTGCATTGAGGCTACATGAGTGAGCACCCTCAATACCACGAAGAAAATGGCGAAACTCTGGGCAAATAATTGCACTTCCTGCATATGCAGCATCAATATGAACCCATATATTATAATCTTTTGCTACATCACATAATGGCCCCAATGGATCAACCGCATTGGATGAAGTAGCCCCTATAGTGGCACAGGAAAAAAATGGAATTAACCCAGATTTGATATCTGATTGAATTGCTGACCTTAGTGAATCGGGAGATAACCCAAATGCAGCAGACTTTGTGGTCAAGAGAGATCGAAAATTCGAGGAGTTAACGCCTACAATTTTAGCAGCTTTTTGGAGTGAACATGGGTTTGATCAGATCCATAAACAACAGGCTTCCCTATGTTTTCTCTCCCAATTTTGTCTATCATTTGGTCCCTCGCCGCGGTTAGTGTGCACAAGATGGCCTCACAAGTAGTTCCTTGTAGAACACCACTTCCACCACCAGAGAAAAGAAATGTCGTGGGAAGGTTAAGCATTTTTCAAAACCAATCCATCACTATGCTCTCTAGTTCTGTGGTAGCTGGTGATCAAATCCAATTTAGCTTTTTTTTTTTAAAATAGAAATTTAGCTTCTTTTTTTTATGTTTTTTGTTTATTGATGTCTAGTGACTTTTGCTCATTTAAAAATGTTGGTTCGATGAACCCAGATTCTACCTTGATAAACGTGAGTTGGTTAAGTGTGGCAATCAATTTATTTGTCCTGCACACATGTGGTATTGTCATTGTTGTGATACTTCAAAAAAATAGTAAAAATAATTATTATAATAATATTAAAAATATTTATAATAATGCTAAAAATATTCATAAAAATAATAAATCATTCACAAATGTATTCCTTGCTCCATCAATCATTGTCTTCTAGTCTTGTCATGTATAGTTCATATATGGGTAATATTATGTTTATTAAATTTTTTATTAAATCTTTATCTCAAATAATGTGACACAATTTTTCACTATCAAATAAGTAGATCTAATTAACAACGACATCTGACAGCAAAGTATGATTCTCAATCAATTTATAGAGTCTTTCTATAGTATCGACTTTTACCTTATTGATATGATACCGAAAAATGAACATCTACCATTGATCCATAATCAAAGAGTTACAACTGTTGATGAAATTTAAAATACTATTTTACATTTTATCGGTTACCCACTCAATAGATTTGAGTCTTGACAAATTCATTACAAAAAAATTTAGACAAGGACAAAAAAGAAGGAGAAAGAAGAAGATGGAGTTGCAGAGTTTTTTTTTATCCCAATGAACCATTCAAGAGATTATAAATTAATTAGTAGGTTGAGATTATAGTAATATTATATTTAATAAAAAAATACATTTAAAACATTTTAGAATAAGATTATCATGTGGATACTATGAACCAAAGAAGAGTAAGGATTTAGTCGTGTTTTGGGTAATTGGGATTTCTGGGTAATTGGGGTTTGGTTAGTAAGAATACTAATTGTATGCAAGGTTACCACTTTTTTGATAAGATTAACACTTTTTTTTAAGATAGATTATCATTTTTTTTTTTTGTAAGAGTACTACTTTTTGGGGTAAGATTACCATTTGTTAAGGAAGATTACCACTTTTTAAAGTAAGAGTACCATTTTTTGGGTTAATAATATTACCACTTTTTTGGGTTAGAATACAGGTGTAAGAATACAATTTTTTGAGTGTAATATTATCACTTTTATTTGGTAAGAATACTACTTTTTTGGTAAGATTATCATTTTCTAAGGCAAGATTATTACTCTTTTTTTGGTATGATAACCACTTTTTGGGGAAGATTACCACTTGTTGTTGAGGGCAACATTACTTTTACCTTGAGGTAAAAGTACCATTTTTTTTGGTTAACTTTACAATTTTTTTTTTGTTAGAATACAATTTTTTTTTTTGTTAGTACAAAATATTTTTTTTTGGGTGTAACATTATCACTTTTTATTTGGTAAGAATACTATTTTTTTGGTAAGATTGCCAATTTTTTGAGACAAGATTATCACTTTTTTTGGAAAAGATTACCAATTTTTACAGAAGAGTGTCACTTTTTGAGGGAAAGATTATCACTGTTGAAGTAAGAGTACCACTCTTTTTTAAAAAAAATTACCATTTTTTTTGTGTTAGAATACAACTTTTTTAGCTTAGAATACAACAATTTTTTGGGTGTAACATTATCACTTTTATTTTGTAAAAATACTACTTTTTTGAATAAGATTACCACTCTTCATAGCTAAGGTTAACAATTATTTGGATAAGCTATTGATAATAGATTACAACTCTTGGGTAATAATACCACTTTTTGAAAGCAAGTTATCATGTTTTTAATAAAATTACCACCAGGTTACCAATGTTTGCCCTAATGTTACAATTGATTGGGTAAAAACTACAACTATTTGGGTATAATTAACACTTTTTGAGATAAATTATCCTCTGTGGGTATAATATAACACTTTTTGAGGTAAAATTATTACTGATTGGGTAAGAATACACTTTTTTTTTTTGTAAGAATATTATTTCTTTTGGGTAAGATTACAATTAGTTTGGGTGATATTACCACTTTTATAGTTAAGGTTACCACTTGTTTGGCTAAGTGAGGGGAAGCAAGGTTCCCACATTTTTTGGGAAGGTTACAATTTTTTTGGGTAAGATTACCAAATTTTTATAGGTAGGGTTACCATTTTTTTGGTATAATTATCACTTTTTTTTTTAAGGTTACCACTTTTCAGGATCGATTCACCCTTTTTAGCGATCAAGAGTACTGATCTAATCGGGACCGATCCACCATTCTTTATAAATCAAGAGTGTCGTTCTAATCAGGACTGATCCACCCTTCTTTACCGATCAAGACTACGGATCTAATCAAAACCGATCCTAAGCGATAAATACTAGAGATCAAAGACACCGATCTTGGGATCAAATCATGTGATCTTGGCTGGGAGAACGACTACGATTTAATCAAGACTGATCTTGGTAGCGATCCTGTTGCTATCAAGTTTCGAAATTTCAAAAACACAAAGAACCCAATCTTATTAACGAAAATCGACCCGAAATGGAATTCAAGAATCCAAAACTAAAAACCCAACCTTATTACATTTTTTTTAATGTATCAAAATTTGGCATAAAATTTAAATGAGATTATTTTTTCCACTCAAATTATAATGAGGTCAAATTTTAATAGTAGCAAAATATAATTTTAATTTACTTGAATTATAATTCATAATTCAACTAGTTACATTAAATTAATCAAATTAACCTTTAATTTCATTCAATTGATACTCAATTCATTGAATTAACTTTCTAAATTAAACAATAAAGATTCAATTTATCAAATTAAGACCAAAGTAACATACGATTTCATTTCTTTAATCTTCAATTCATCAACATTAACATTCAATTTTATCTAATAAGCATTTAATTCAATAAATTAACAATCAAATTCAACAAGTTAACGTTCAATTAATCAAATTAACGCCAAATTAACATGGAATTCATCTATTTCATATTCAAATTCGTACAATTAACACTCAATTAATCAAATTAACATCCAAAACTATTTAAAAAATATTCAATTTATCAAATCAACACCAAAGTAACATGTAATTTCACTCAACTTGAATTTAATTCATCAAATTAACATTCAATATCATCTAATTAACATTCAATTCATTAATTAACATTTAATTTTTTCTAATATATTTAATTCATTAAATTAACATTCCAATTCAACTAGTTAACATTAATTAATAAAACAAACTTTCTATTTCATTCAATTAACACTCAATTCATTGAATTAACTTTTCAAATCGAACAATAAATATTCAATTTATCAAATTAATACCAAAGTAACATACAATTCCATCTAATTAATATTCCATTAATTTAATATCAAATTAAAATTCAATTGTATATAATGAGCATTTAACTCATTAAATTAACATTAAATTAATCTAATTAACACTAAATTGACATTCAATTCATCTAATATATATTCAAATTTAGTCAATTAACACTCAATTAATCAAATTAACATCCAAAATTATTTAATAAATATTCAGTTTGTTAAATCAACATCAAAGTAACATGCAATTTTATCTAATTAAAATTTAATTTATCAAATTAGCACCAAATTAACTTTCAATTTTATCTAATTAACATTCAATTTTTTTCTAATAAGTATTTAATTCACTAAATTAACATCCAAATTCAACTAGTTAATATTAAATTAATCAAATAAACTTTCAATTTTATTCAATTAACACTCAATTCATTGAATTAACTTTCCAAATCAAACAATAAACATTTAATTTATCAAATTAACATGAAAACAACAAACAATTCAAACTAATTAATATTTTTTTTAAGTTAAACACATTTAGGACAAATTTTATAAATAACAAAATTATAAAGCGAATAGGAGATGACATAAACCTTGTCCCTTAATAAAAAAATGTTAAAAGTTTACTTTAAATACAAATTTATCATCCTAAAAAGTGATGAGTCCCATTTGAAATTCATCCCCATATTCTTGATGCCCAAATTTACCTCCACATGATGAGTCCACGACAATTCAAAAGAATTGTTTTTCAAAATAATTATTGCTTGAAATGCTCCATTAGCTTCCAATGGAAATTACTTCCACGTGGTGGGTCCCATGGCAAAGAAAATTTGGCTTTCCTTCCGAGTAAAAGCTGGTGTAAAAAAGGCGTTGAAGTCTATCTCCAAGTGGCAAGATCGAGAGGCAAGAATATTTGATATTGTCAGAAGAAATCTTCTGCTTAAATGCTGAATTTGTTGATGTCTCGAAGTGGTGGACTTCTTATAACCAATTTTACACGGTTCCCAATAGTTCGTAATCTTCTAAATATTGCATAAATTGCACGCGTGATCTTCTAACGTCTATGAAATTTTCTTTTTAACCAACTCTTCCTTTTTTTGTTTCTTTTCTTTCTTAGCATTATTGAGATTTCTCACTAATTTCTTGGACTTAGCAATAAAAGATTCATAATCTAAAATAGGTGCTAAAACATCGTCCTCTCCATTAGAGAAAATCCTCTTGTGTTTTTATGAACAATAGGCTCTTTACATAGTCATCCTTAGAGAAAGTGTCATTTGATTTCAATGTTTGATAAATCTCTTCTCTAGACATTTTTGGGATGAAATTCTCTTGACTGTGGACACGCTAATGAACTGTCTCCACCATCTGGTTGTTAACAAGCATTGGATTGTACAAAGAATAGTGGTCTTACTTATTTAAAACACATGGACATAATCAATGGATACCTCTACCAAAGAATCTTCAATACCATACTCAAGACCATCATCTGAACTGGAAAAAAATCTCACTATCCTTGTGATTTAGATTAGTCACGTTGAAAGAGACTATTCTTGTATTCTTGTTAGTCGTCACCTTTCCAGCATCAAGAATTAAAGAACCCCCAAGAGGCTTAATTGGAGTAACAGAAACCTCCACCACAGGATCAACATCTTCTAAGTTTAATAAAGTTTGAGAGAGATTAACATCCTCACCATTTTTTTCTAACTGTGATGAGTCTTGAAAGAGCATATTGTTTAGTGAGCCAAAGTGAGAATCTTCTCTGCAACTTTCTCCACCTTTGATTGGGCCATCACTTTTGAAATAAAGTGTTATATACTTTCATCCATTATAGGATCAGCATTTACTACTACCTCATTTTCTATCACCGTTAAATCCACCACTTCAAAAGTTATGTTATTTGGTGCACCAGTATCAATTTGTGCTTGAGTAGTTAATGAAGCATTTTTTTCCCTGCAATTCAGTGCTGCAATTTTGGGAGGAATAATATGTGGCATCCTTGCTTGAGTGGTCTCCTTTTTCCAAAATCTTAGGAGTTGCCTCCTCCAAATCCCTTGATTCCAGAATCAAATTAGGCTCATTTCCTAAAGTGTCTATCATTGCCTTCTTCGCACTAGGAGTCTATTTTGACTTGGTTTGTTGTACCCAAATCCCTTTAGATGGCTGGATCAAATCTAGTTGCTTTGATTGAGGTTGAGCTTTCCTTGAATCAGAGGTTTCCTTATGAGATTTCCTAGAGATCTGATTCTGCTGAGTTTGTTTCCCCTTATTTTTCTCTCCTATTGCCTTTCTTGTAATATTTTCCCCAAGATCTTGATTCTTACCTTGATTTTAATCCGAATCCAGGGCACTTTTCCTTTTTCTGCAGTGTTCTTCGCCATGGCCCAGCTTCTTGCAACTCTTTGTAGAAACTGCTTGCTGCATTCATCGACTATTCGTTGCCACCTAGCTTCTTCATCCCCCATATCAATCCAAATTCTGCTTGGGTTGTTAGCTAAGAGGTTGACTTCCACACAAACTCTAGCCATGCTAGGTTGAGACAAGGAGAGGGATGCCTGGTCATAGGCCAACACCTTACCTATAAGTTTTACCAGTAACACCAGGTATGGTTTCTTGAAAAAGTTCAATGGTAATCCAGGAAACGATATCCAAATGGAACAACTGAAGGCTCAATGCCTGGTACAAAACTAGAGAACCACTTAAAAAAGTTGAAGAGGTAGTCCTCTATTAGTGTAGCATCCTTAAGCCTCGTCTTCACGTAATCTTCATGCAACTGAAATCATAAGAGTATATGCCTCTGATCAATTGACCCAACCTCAAATCTCCCTTTAAACTCTATTTGGATCTTATTACTTCCTTGATAACTCCTAGTGAGGGTTTGCCATATGCACACTTACCAATCAAAGAGTATTGGAGGGATTGGCAAGACTTCTGGATTTCTTCATTGGTAAACTACAACGATGGTTCATCTTCATAGAACACTATGGGTTTGTCAAGTTTCTCTGGCTGTGGATCCTCAGAAGGTTGTTGGATTTGGGGCCTGAATAAAGATGCAAATGATTGTTTTGTGTTGGTGGATGAATCTAGGGGTTTTGGTGGAATATGAGGTTGTGTCGGTGATGAACTCATGAGGAAGAAAAATTTATAGATAAGTCTTAGGAGCCTTCTAATTAATATTCAATTCATCAATTTAACACAAAGTTAACATTCAATTTTCATTCAATTTTATCTAAAAAGCATTTAATTCATTAAGTTAACATTCAAATTTAACTAGTTAACATTAAATTAATGTCAAATTAACATTCAATTCATCTAATTTATATTCAAATTTATCCAATCAACACTCAATTAATCAAATTAACGTCCAAAATTATTTAATAAATATTCATTTTATCAAATCAATACTAAAACAACATGCAATTTCATCCAATTAAAATTTAATTTATCGAATTAACATTTAAATTCATCAAATTAATATTCAATTCATCAGATTAACACCAAATTAACATTCAATTTCATCTAATTAACATTTATTTTTTTCTAATAAACATTTAATTCATTAGATTAACATTCGAATTCAACTAGTTACATCCAAGAATTGCTAAGAAGGCTCACAAATGTTGAGAAGAAAAGGAAATAGAAAGAAGAGGACCTACCTGCCTTAACATTGACATTGCATAATGTTCCAATTAGGAATGATTCGCCAAGAATCACTAGGTCCAAATCTAAATCCATGATAGCGTTGAAAATTCCAAAGCAAAACAATAGATATGGATTTAGGCATTAAGGGAGCTAATTTTCATGGATTTCATGGAGATCTTTCAAACATTAAGGGTTCCAGGGATTTCATGGAGATCATTTAGTCAATCTTTACCAGTTTATGGGAGGATTTTCAGGGATTAATAGCAGAATGATCATGATATACTGCCCACCAAATCTTGTCTTTTTAATGTGTGATCACATGCAAATGATTGCATGTGATTTGTCCAACGTTGGGAAGATTTTATTCAAAGAGATCATCTCTAGCTCAACATGCAAAAAACTGTTTGTTTGACTACTGCTAGGAGTCCATTTTGTGAAAAGGCAGCAACTATCTCATTGTTCACGTTACTATTCATCTAGAACTGCAACTAGATTGGTTTCGTGGAATTTGTCTCAAAGGTCTCCAATTCAGCTGGAATTACCTCATTTGTTTCAAAGGTCTCCAATTCAACTAGACTGCTTTGACAGTTATAGCTAGCTGAGTTCCTACATCATTTAGTTAAGAAGGGAGCATGCTTGTGACAAATATTTTTTGTACTAAGCATGCATATTTTGCTTTTTTTATTTATTTCATTATTCCATGTAACTAAATTTTATTTGAAATCAATAAAACTCCCTCGTGTCGTCGAGGTTCTAAAAAAAAGAAAAATTCAATTACCACTAAATTCATTGAATTAACTTTCAGGTGACTTCTCCTCCCGTCATCACCGATGTGCAGGACATATAAATTGAGAGTTCACTTGGGTATAAAAAGTTCACTTGTGCATGCTCTTGTATCTCCTTCCAAGCCTTGTTCACATGGCAATAGTCTGTAAGTGTTGCTCCAACTAGCAAGCCTTATCACATACATTCCCCCAACCACAACATGTGTCATGTTCAGTCTCCTTGTTGAATTAATCGATTCCAATAGCCTTCTGTTAAATTCATTTGCATCTTCTTCACCTCAAAGCTTCTGATTAGCATTCCCCAGCGTTAATGGCGAAACACAAACCATTGCAAAATTTCTAGGAACCACAACCTCGAGCCTCTTGTCCATGGCTATGAGCCGTTCAAAATGTTTAGCCATTTTTACATGACCCCTTATGAATTTTCTGAGGTTTGATGCTCCATTGCTTCTGAGTACAAGCCATAGCTTCATTGCTCGTAATCTTCTACTCAATGCTATTTGCCAGTCTTTGTAGTCCACCAATTGTTTTGAATCAGAAGCCTTGTTCTTCAAATACTCCGGATCATTTGAGAGAGGTTTGATTAGGGCACTTGGTTCCTTTCCCCAAAGACAACAACAATCCAAAATGGTGAAGAACCATTTATGTGCATTGAGGCTAAATGAGTTAGCACCCTCAATACCACGAAGAAAATGACGATAAATCTAGGCAAATAAATGCACTTCCTACATATGCAACATCAATATGAACCCACATATTATAATCTCTTGCTACATCACATAATGACCCCAATGGATCAACTGCATTGGATGAAGTAGTCCCTATAGTGGCACAGAAAAACAAAGGAATTAGCCCAGATTTGATATCTTATTGAATTGCTGACCTTAGTGAATCGGGAGATAACACAAATAAACAACAATGACAATACCCATGATAAATGTGAGTTTGTTGTGACAATCAATTTATTTGTCCTGCACACAAGTGTTATTGTCATTGTTGTTCATTTGGGCTATCTCCCGATTCACTAAGTTCAGCAATTCAATCAGATATCAAATTTGGACTAATTCCATTGTTTTTTTGTGCCACTATAGGGACTACTTCATCCAATGTAGTTGATCCATTGGGGCCATTATGTGATGTAGCAAGAGATTATAATATATGGGTTCATATTGATGCTGCATATGCAGGAAGTGCATTTATTTGCCCAGAGTTATCACCATTTTCTTCGTGGTATTGAGTGTGCTAACTCATTTAGCCTCAATGCACATAAATGGTTCTTCACCACTTTGGATTGTTGTTGTCTTTGGGGAAAGGAACCAAGTGCCCTAATCAAACCTCTCTCAAATGATCCGGAGTATTTGAAGAACAAGGCTTCTGATTCAAAACAAGTGGTGGACTACAAAGACTGGCAAATAGCATTGAGCAGAAGATTCCGAGCAATGAAACTATGGCTTGTGCTCAGAAGCTATGGAGCATCAAACCTCAAAAACTTCATAAGGGGTCATGTAAAAATGGCTAAACATTTTGAACGGCTCATAGCCATGGACAAGAGGTTCAAGGTCGTGGTTCCTAGAAATTTTGCAATGGTTTGTGTTTCGCCATTAATGCTGGGAAATGCTAATTAGAAGCTTTTAGGTGAAGAAGATGCAAATGAATTCAAGATAAGGTTTTTGGAATCGATTAATTCAACAGCGAGACTGAACAGGACACATGATGTGGTTGGGGGAATGTATGTGATAAGGCTTGCTAGTTGGACCAACACTTACATACTGTTGCCATGTGAACAAGGCTTGGAAGGAGATACAGGAGCATGCACAAGTGAAATTTTTATACCCAAGTGACCTCTCAATTTATAGTCTTTTTGTGGTACCAATTTTTACCTTTTCAATATGGTACCGAAAAATGAACATCCACCATTGATCCATAATCAAAGAGTTACAACCGTAGATGAAATTTAAAATACTATTTTACATTTTTCCGATTACCCACTCAATAGGTTTGTGTCTTGACAAATTCGTTAAAAAAAAAAATTCAGACAAGGACGAAGAAGAAGGAGAAAGAAGAAGATGGAGTTGCAGATTTTTTTTAGCCCAATGAACCATTCAAGAGATTATAAATTAATTAGTAGGTTGAGATTATAGAAATCTTATATTTAATAAAAAAATACACTTAAAACTTTTTAGAATAAGATTATCATGTGGATACTATGAACCAAAGAAGAGTAAGGGTTCCAGTCGTGTTCTGGGTAATTGGGATTTGGTTAATAAGAATACTAATTGTATGCAAGGTTACCACTTTTTTTATAAGATTAGCACTTTTTTTAAGATAGATTATCACTTTTGTTTGGGTAAGAGTACCACTTTTTTGGGTAAGATTACCATTTGTTAAGGAAGATTACCACTTTTTGAGGGCAATATTATCATTGTTGAGGTAAGAGCACCACTTTTTAGGTTAACATTACTACTTTTTTGGGTTAGAATACAGGTGTAAGAATACAACTTTTTGAGTGTAACATTATCACTTTTATTTGGTAAGAATACTACTTTTTTTGGCAACATTACCACTTTTTGAGGCAAGATTATTACCATTTTTTTGGTATGATAACCATTTTTTAGGGAAGATTACCACTTCTTATTGACGGCAAGATTACCACTTACCTTGACATAAAAGTACCACTTTTTTTGGTTAACTTTACCACATTTTTTGTTAGAATACAAATTTTTTGGGTGTAAGAATATAATTTTTTGGGTGTAACATTATCACTTTTATTTGGTAAGAATACCACTTTTTTTTGTAAGACTGCCAATTTTTTGAGACAAGGTTATCACTTTTTTTGGGAAAGATTACCAATTTTTATAAAAGAGTGTCACTTTTTGAGGGAAAGATTACCACCATTGAGGTAAGAATACCACTTTTTTTTTTGTTAAAATTACCATTTTTTGGATTAGACTACAACTTTTTTGGTTTAGAATACAACTTTTTGGGGGTGTAAGAATACAATTTTTTTGGTGTAATATTATCATTTTTATTTTATAAAAATACCACTTTATTGAATAAGATTGCCACTCTTCATAGCTAAGGTTAACAATTATTTGGCTAAGCTATTGATAATAGATTGCAACTCTTGGGTAATAATACCACTTTTTGGGAGCAAGTTTCCACGTTTTTAATAAAATTACCGCTAGGTTACTAATGTTTGCCCTAACGCAACCACTGATTGGATAAGAACACAACTATTTGGGTATAATTAACACTTTTTCAGATAAATGACCATCTTATGGTATAATTAACACTTTTGGAGGTGAAATTACTATTGATTGGGTAAGAATACACTTTTTTTTTTAGGTAAGAATATCATTTTTTTTGGGTAAGGTTACAATTAGTTTGGGTAATATTACCACTTTTATAGTTAGGATTACCACTTGTTTGGTTAAGTGAGGGGGAGCAAGGTTACTATGTTTTTGGGGAAGGTTACAATTTTTTTAGGTAAGATTACCAAATTTTTATAGGTATGATTACCATTTTTTTTTTGGTAAGGTTACCACTTTTCAGGACCGATCCACCTTTTTTAGCGATCAAGAGTACCGATTTAATCAGGACCGATCCACCCTTCTTTAGCAATCAAGAGTACCGATCTAATTAGGACCAATCCACCCTTCTTCACCAATCAAGACTACAGATCTAATCAAAACCGATCCTGAGTGATAAACACTAGCGATCAATTACACTGATCTTGGGATCAAATCATGACCGATCAACTACCGATCTTAGCTGGGATCAAGACTACAATTTAATCAGGACCGATTTTGTCAGCGATCCTATGGCAATCAAGTTTCGAAATTTAAAAAACCCAAAGAAACAATCTTATTAACAAAAATCGACCCAAAATGGAATTCAAGAACCCAAAACCAAAAACCCAATGTTATTAAATTTTTTTTATGTATCAAAATTTGGCATAAAATTTAAATGAGATTCTTTTTTCCGCTCAAATTATAATGAAGTCAAATTTAAATAGTAGCAAAATATAATTTTAATTTACTTGAATTATAATTCATAATTCAACTAGTTACATTTCAAATTAACCTTTAAATTCATTCAATTAATACTCAATTCATTGAATTAACTTTCTAAATTAAACAATAAAGATTCAATTTATCAAATTAACACCAAAGTAAAATACAATTTCATCTCTTTAATCTTCAGTTCATCAAATTAACACTGAATTCACATTCAATTTTATCTAATAAACATTTAATTCAATAAATTAACAATCAAATTCAACAAGTTAACGTTAAATTAATCGAATTAACACCAAATTAACATGGAATTCATTTATTTCATATTCAAATTCGTACAATTAACACTCAATTTATCAAATTAACATCCAAAACTATTTAAAAAATATTTAATTTATCAAATCAACACTAAAGTAACATGTAATTTCACCCAATTATGTAAACCCCCACATTTTTCTCTCTATATAACAACGTAATTACTTTTGAAATGCTAAAATATGTAATGATGCATGCATAAACTATGTAGATTTTAAGAGTAGAAATTAAAATTTTAGTTGAGGTAATAGGATATGTTGTAGAAGTTTAGAAGTATTCCGAAGTGAAAGCACACAGTTAGAGAGAATTTGGGTAGAAAGGATTTTGGACACTTCCTAGTATTTGAACCATAATGGTTTACCTTGATGTCTATTTGATTTAAAATTTTTACAGTAGATAGTAGACTTCCAGGGCTACAAAAGTGTATTTCACCAAAATTTTCCAAATCAACTTGTAAATAGGCAAAAACTTCACTGAATATTTCAGCAGCAACAGGAAGTCCGTTCGAACGACCTACGTTCGAACGTGAAAGTCCGTTCGAACGCCAACCGTTCAAACGTGAAAGTATGTTCGAATGATGGTTCATTCCAGTACTCTATCTCTGATGGGAAAAAAAAGTACTGGGAGTAACTAACATTCGAACGCCAATGACGTTCAAACGTGAGCGATGAATTAGAGTATTAGATTTACGTCGTTTGAATTCTTTTCTTCCCCTATAAATACATAAGGGCGCCTCCAATAGCCCCATTTCAATATTTATAACCCTAGAGAGGCTTAGAGAGGAAGAAATTGGGGACAAATACAAGATCAAGAGGGATTTGTACATTGAAGTGGATCAAAGTTTCTAATTTTTCAAGAACACCAAGGAAAAAGAAAGGTAGGGGTTTTTTTTCCACTCTTGTCCATTGAGGCTAGGGTTTATATATATGTATGTTTTGCTTCAAAAATCTTAGATATATTTTATGATATCCTTGTTTCTTTATGTTCTTGCAATCCTTTTCATGTTTTGAGTGAAGTTTTGGGATGAAAGCCATTAAAACTCTTGTTTTGAATCAAAACCTAGTTTTTCAAGAGAAATAGATTTTTTTCTTAAATTTTCCTTTTTTCTTGATTTAAAAAATCTAGTACTTTGTATTGAACAATAAAATGGTATTTTTAATGATCTCTTGCATATTTAATTAAATTGTTCTATTGGAATAATACATGTGGAATTTGGGAATTTTTGGAATTGCTTGTGATTTGAGGAAATTGGTTGGGTATTGTATCTCTTGTGGATGTTTGGATGACTATGGGTGGTCGTTGACTGGGTATCGTAGAGTGGGTAGATGCGTTTCTTACTCTGTGCGGGTCTGAATTTTTCCTACCACTCGTAGTGGGATTGATTTCTTGCGAGGATCAAACCACTATTCGCTCACGTGGTACCGAGGCTGAGGGTTAGTATACTATTCCTGGGTTGGATCGTCCCTGCCAATGCGTTGGTATACACCCTTCCTAAAGTTAGATATCCTTGCGAGGATTGGGTGTGTGTGTGTGGGCCAAGATATTCTCGATATGTTTATTCATGCGATGTTATACATCATACCTGAGATACAAGTACAGATACATATACATAATGTTGTGACAGATACAAGTCTTGGCTTGATATACATTGTGGGTAATGGTACAAGTTGTGGGTTATTAGTTATTGTTGTGGAAATGACTTATTGTTGGAATTGGTTTTACTTCTTCATTTTATATATCGAGTTTGCGTAAACTTGAGATCGAATTTCACTGTTTTCTTTCAAAAGTTATATATGATATTTGTGAAATGAGACCGACTTATTTTTTATGTTTTCAAAACATTGTCCAAGTTTGGGAGGATTTTCCTATAAAGCTTAGTGCTCACCCCCTACAAACAATATTATTTTTAGATTTTACTTTAGTGGAAGAGCTCGGAGTGGACGAGCAGGTACTTTGGAGAGCTCAAGTGGATGGGCATGTGGATCCGGAGGGGAATGTCTAGAATTGTCTTTTTATGTACTAGACTAGGAGTTTCATTTCGAGATATTGTTAATGTTAATACTTTCCTTATTCTGCTACGAGATAATGGTTTGGGCATATTCTTTTGGGCGTAGTTGTCATAGTTTGACATATTCTTTTGGATGTAATTACCATGGTTTGACATATTCTTTTGGATGATATTGTATATGTTATGTATGATGAATGAAATTTTCTTTACTTATGGATCTTATTAGTTGCTCTCATTATATGAATGGTTTTAGATAGTAATATCGTCCAAGATGGATTTTGGGGCA